TGTATTTTCAAAATACTAGTCGACTAAAACACAGTCAAGACAAGTTACTTTGTACAAATCAAAGGTCACCTTTATGCTATTTGATAGCATAACATAAGTGCACTTGAGCCTTATTGTTGTAACTACTATATTGTTCGCCAGGCATGGGTAAAAGATCAATATAATAAAAATAATACACATATATATGTATAATGTTATGAGATTTAAGCTATTTTGTCTAAACATTTATAATTTGTGTTCATTCTAGAATGAAAGAGGCATAATTTATGTTTATTTCCTAATTTTTTATGGTGGTTGCGAGATCGGTCAAATCTACCGAACCCGTACAGAGATTAAACTGAAAATAACAGATAAAATATAAAGTGTTTTCTTAAGAAATGTTTCATAACTATCTGGACATTATAAAGATTTCACATGTGAAATTTCGAAAGTTTCTGGTGCATAAAAGTATTTTTAATCATAAAATGAAAATTACTTTGCATGATAGATAGGCAAGATGTGAAAAGAAACAAAGGCATGAAAGAAACATTGCTGTACAAACCTTAAGACTTAATAAAAAATTAGATATTTTGCATATGAAAGCATTGTAATGTTTACTGATAATCTGCCAAATATTGTTAACATTCGCCTACTAATTTAAAAGTTATAGTATGAAAACTATAACAAGCACAAAATGGTTACGAGGTCGGTCCCAGGGACGGAGCCCGGCTTAAAGAGTTAAATGGGTATTTTTATAATCTTCCTCATTTTACATAATAATAGTGTTAGATTATTTAATAATAATAATCCCTGTAGACTCCAACTGGAGCATAGGGCCCCAACAACACCTTGCCGACGGAAGTTGTTGTTGCAGTAATTTTTTAGCAGGTTGGTTTTTACGAGGCGGAGTTGCTAGCCCCGCGCCCAACCCTCCTCTTTTCTCATCCTGGACTTGGGACCAGGCAAAGGTGGTGGCATCCCTGCCGGGGAACGAACCTGGTACCTTTGGATTAGAAATCCAACGCGCTATCCACTGCGCTATAGGGACACTTAGATTATTTAGTTGCTGTTAATACTTGTGAAATCTCTATATGGTGTATAATAGAAGGGCGTGAAATATAGTTGTTGTATCAATGTTCTTTAGTGAATACAAATATTTGAAATGCTTCTTTTGTATGAAATTATTTTTGAACCTTAACATTTTAATATATTTTTCAGAAAATGGTTGCCAAAGAAACTATCAGTGTGAGAATGGAAAGTGTTTAGCAAGGCATCAAGTTTGTGATCGAGTGAAAGATTGTAGTAACAGTGAAGATGAAGCTAATTGTGGTAGGTCTACATTTTATCCAGATAATTTATTAGATACTTGATTAGTGTTTTGGTTCAATTAACTGATCTCGAAAATAGACACAAAAAGATATCCTCTCTGTTTAAGCTTTGTTTTCTATTAGTACACAAGTACATCCTAGTCACTGTCTGAAACAGAAACTTCAAATTTCATGAAAGAAAACTAGGTAAAAATGTTAATAGTATATAAAATAATGGTTTCAACAGAATTACTTTTTTGATGAAACTTTGTAAAATGGACAGCAACTTCCTGTTGTTAGAGACACCAGCGTAGAGGACGACGTTTCGAAAGTCTTCCACCTTTCGTCTTCAACAACGAGCAGTTGCCGTCCATGCTACAAAGTTTCATCATGAATACTCTGCCTAAACAATCTATCAAAGAATAGAATTACTTTTTATTTTACAATTTTTGACCTCCCTTGTTACGATGATACATGAAATAAGTGAAGAAAGCAGGACATTGTTTTTCGTTTTGAAACCTAATTGTGAAAGTAACAATTTAAAACAAGACCTAATTTATTAATATAAACTTTTAGAACTTAATTAAAAAGTTGGATATATAAGAAATAGGTGGAAAAGTTAGATAGTTGATAGTAAATTAGCTTTGTGGGAGAAAGTAAAGATAAATGGTCATTTTGTTGAATGAGATAACTCTCTGTTTTTGTCGAATAGTATTTTTGTCAAATATTTGGATAGCCTCTTGGACAATAATACAATTCTAAATTCACTGATAAAATTAGAATGTTGGGAAGAGCTGGCTCTGTTCAGAATGTTTTGCTAAACTGACATCAGGACCTTGACAGTTCCAGATTGTGGAAGATGACGTTTAATTTTGAGAAGTTTGAAGTTATCCATAAATGATATGTAATGTAATATGGAAAGGACTTAATTTTTGTGTCGTGAAAAAACAATAACAATAATGTGTATGTGTGTGATTGTTCATAAACATTCTAAACCCATCTGCTGTGAAAACAGAAGCAAGTTCTTGTTTCTGTCTATAGGAACATTATTGTAGCCTTGTATTAAACTCTGGTGAGGCTTAATTTCTACTATTGGTGAGAGTTTTGGCACCCTTGGTATAGAAAGGATATCGTTGTGAAAGAGATGGACCATACAGTTAATCTTTTTTTCTTTCAGTAATCTACTTAATTATGATGGCCATAGATGATTGCTCCTTCCTTTGGGAAGATAATGTAACCTCACAAATACAAGCCAAACCTTTATATTAAACCTTTCTCAAACCCCTTTTAATAAAGGGATGCTGGGGGGGTGCGTATTATTAATGATACATGATTGAAGTCATTTAGGTGACAAAGAAAGACTTACAACATTGGACTTGTTTTTTTATTGAAGAACTTGTGACAACTTTAATCACATTTCAGTATTTTACAGTCTTCCTATGGGTTGTCTGTTTATATGGTGAGATAAAGAGGTTTTGAAGATAAAGTTGAATACTAGAAGCAATGGTTTTAGGCTTTGGAAGCTTAGATTTCAAACTTGTTCTTTAACAGAACTGCCTTTCTTTGTTTAAAAGTTGTGAACTTGTAAAAATGGCTTGCCTGAAGATGTAATTTCTGTTGTTAGTTTCAAAGTTTCAAGAACTTTGTTGGATAAACGTATGGATGTGATTGGGGGTATATATTTTTGTATCTAGAGGAACCTTGATGGACTAAATAGCTTTCTGCCACCATGCATATGGATGTGATTGGGGGTATATATTTTTGTATCTAGAGGAACCTTGATGGACTAAATAGCTTTCTGCCACCATGCTGCTGTCCTGATTTTCCTTATGAGCTTAATCGAAGCATCATTTTTAGCATTTAAAATGTTACTGAAATATAATTTTGATCATAATTATCATGCAAGTTTCTGATTATTATCAAGAACTTCATAATGTTTCACATAAGAACGTTTGATTAAAGTTTTTCTTGCTCTAAGTTTCTTTTTTTGTGTGTGTGTATAGATTTGTGGAAGTGCCAGAATAACGAGTTTGTATGTGGTAATGGTCAATGTATTCCTGAGGATTGGCACTGTGATGGTGTGGACAACTGTGGAGACCATACTGATGAAGTTGGTTGTGGTAATGTCACCTTCCTTTCTAAATATATAGTATAAACAAACATATAAGACCACACTTACTTTTGTAACTTTCAAATTTTTAGTGGTAAAAATATTCAAATACTAACCAATTATTGTAAATAACTTTTCATAGGAGTATATTTTATCCATAATGATTAGAAAATTTTCATTCTCTTATTAATTATAAGGTATTAAGAACTCCTCTGTTTCTTTGTAACCAATAGCTTGACTGACAGTCATGTTTTTATTGTTTTATTTAGCAACAACATGCTCAGAACAGCAGTTCCTCTGTCCAGAAGGTTGGTGTTTACCAGAAACATGGAAATGTAATGGAGTTTTGGATTGTTATGGAGGAGAAGATGAAAGAGGTTGTGGTAAGTAAGTCCGATTGAAGTCCATGTATTTTGGTCTTTAATCTGTATGGATTGTGTTACAAGTATATTGATGTGTAACAGTGGTTGTCAAAAACTAATTACACCAAGTGGTAATATTACTAAAAAGACATTTTCTTCATCAACAACCTGTGGTTAGGAATAACTGGTTTCTGAAAGTCCTTGTTTTTGACAGTTATGATCATTTCTTAACAATGTAGATTACTGTAGTATCCAAACTGGATTCGCTTTTTAAGTTATCTCTGGATTTTCTGTTATCCATAAACTGTTTTTTTTTTTTTACAGATTGTGATGACAAAGAGTTTAAATGCCAAAGTGGGGGATGTATTCAACAACGAAAAGTTTGTGATAGAAATAATGATTGTCCTGATTCCAGTGATGAACTCTACTGTAGTGAGTAAAGTAACTTTAACCCTTATGTATTGCTAGAACAGTATATATATACACCATAGTTAGTTACTTAATCAACTGTTCTAATGAAAATCTTGTTATTACCCTATTAATTGAGAGGATATTAGTAATATTAAAACATATGAATAGCTAATATATCTAGGATCTGTTTTAACTTTAGTATAACTTTTATTTGGAGAATATATCTATTCAGTTTCCAGAGTCTAATATTTCTGGCCAGGTGGTTATGGTGCTTGACTCTCAATCTGAGGGTCATGGGTTCGAATCCCCATCCCACCAAACATGCTCACGCTTTCAGTCGTGGAGGCATTATAATGTGATGGTCAATCCCACTTTTCATTGGTAAAAGAGTAGCTCAAGAGTTGGCAGTGGGTGGTAATGACTAGCTGCCTTCCCTCTAGTATTTCACTGCTAAATTAGGGATGACTAGCACAGATAGCTCTCGTGTAGCTTTGTGCAAAATTCAAAACAAACCAAACTAATATTACTATTTGGTAGATGTTTGATGTGACTGAATTTCAAGGTTCAGTACTTGGTTTGTGATTCTTAGACGTGATCAGATGTGTAAGTGTTGATATTAGGGTGCATTAATTTTGTCTGTTTCTCTAGTGAGACTTCATAACGACTCCATGCTATTAGAGATATTTGACTCAGAACACGGATGGACAAACGTCTGTGCAGATGATTGGGATGAGCAACACAGTAATAGTGTGTGTCAAAATCTCGGCTACAGGTACGGGTTCCGATACAATTACCAAGAAATGGAGTATCTTAAAGACATCTAATTTACTTCAAATATTTCTGAATATAACCATTAAATATATGATACTTGTTCTGAATTTGAGAGAAAAAAATTACAATTTTTCTATGTGAACCATTCAATGGTTGTGTTATTACATAAGGAGACCGTATTTCACAGACTTATTCAGACGTTATCTTAACAGTGAAGCAGTTCTTACGGAATATCCACCTGGTGATGACATTAATCCTGAAGCCAGTAGAGGTCTCTATCATTTATTTGAGAAAACATCTAGCAATAATACAAGAGACATCTGGGAATTACTGTCGTTAAGGTTAGTTTTGTGATTAACTCCAAGAATATATAGTTGTGTTCTATTAAGTGGGTAGAGAAACTGTTTTGTTTGATAAAGTAGAGGTGATTTTTTTTTAAATTAATATTTGGTTATACTTGTTAAAATAAACTAAAATAATCAACCATGATGCCATATTGCTATTATAAGCTGCATAAATAATATTTTAATGGTATAACTGACAGCTAAGATGAGTAAAAGAAAAAGGTTCTTTCTTAGATATTTTTTCGAGCTCATTATGAAAATGCTAACGTTTGTTTCGAACAAATTTATTTACCAAAACACTCCCTTTTACTGATCTTAACAACTGAATTACAATCTACAACTTTATCTCGAATCTAAAAAGTAGCATTATAGTCACGTTCGTTGAAACAACGGGTAATCTTTATTTGTTGAATTTCGTGCAAAACTACTCGAGATAACTGGAAATCAAATCAAATAATCTTTTCACAAGCGTTGTAAAATCAGAAGGATAAATTATTTTCATGAAGCATTCAAAATAATCCATTGCATGAGAGTTTAACGTTTGTAATGCAAACTAGAGATTTATATTCATTGTTAAAAAGATAAATAAAACATGACCTACTAGTCCGGAAAATTGGTTTTATTTAAGCCAATATTGTGTCACTACAGCTTCATTGAGGCAAACAAGACACTTGCTGAAATAGCAAGTGTCTTTTTTTCTGTCCTCGTAAAGCCGTAAAGGCAAAAATTGGCTTAAATAAAGCCAGTTATGTTTTCAGGTCTAATAGGTCATGTTTTATTTATCTTTTGAACAATTTACTGTATCTTTGTTCTTGAAGTTTCTCATTTCTGAATGGTTTGATAAATATCAAATCATGAACTGATATGCAAAATAAAGCATTTGTAATATAATGATCTGTCCCCAGATGGCTCAACAGGAAGCTTGAGAACATATAATGCTAAAATTTAGTGTTGGCTCCCTGCAGTGGACAGAGCACAGATGACCCATTGTGCAGCTTTGCAATTGAGTAAATAACTACCTAAATTTAAAAATATTTTTAAACCTACAAAATTTTCTTATTGTGACTGACATTTGCTTTTAACATTAGTTAAACATGCATTTTAATTGTTTTAACAAAATAACAAATATTTTTAAACCTACAAAATTTTCTTATTGTGACTGACATTTGCTTTTAACATTAGTTAAACATGCATTTTAATTGTTTTAGGAAAGACGCCACCTGTCAAAGTGGAAGTAGGGTTGCAATTGCATGTCGAAAATTTCGTAAGTAACTTCTGTTGCAATTAGGACAATATTTTAATTAATCTTTTAAAAACATATCATTTACTGATGACCTTATCTAATTGATAATTAGGAAAATATTTATCTAACATTCATTATATATGAAATAATTTTTTGTTATTGTTAATTACAAAAGACAGTAATAATATTCAGCTTTCTGCTATAATTACTGCTGATTTTTGCCAGAAACAATTTATGTTTACACTTTATAAATATCCACTGTTAATCCGTTTGTGGTGATGCACTCTTATCCTCAAATAAATTAATTCACACATCTTGTTAAAACAAACTTAGCATACATGAACTCACTACAAACTCAGAATATACTTGAACAAATAGATTCTTAATTTAGTTATTTATAAATGTAAATTATTAGATTAACAAATTCATCTTAAATTTATTGGTAGCTAAATTATCTATAAACGTCATGAACTGGGATAATATAGCATTATTGTGATTTCCTATGAAAATAAGATGTTCTTATCTTACAGAATGTGGTGCATGGAGTCTGGCGGGAGAGCTCCAAGGAAGAATTATTGGAGGCAGCAGTGCTCCGGATGGACAATGGCCATCTGTAGGCTTAGTTGTAAACAAAAATAACAACTACACAGTTTGTACAGTTAGTGTTCTTTCTCCACGGTGGTTGGTCACATCTGCTTCTTGTATTAAACACAGGTAAATAACAACTACACAGTTTGTATACTTAGTGTTATTTCTCCACAGTTGTTGGTCACATCTACTTCTTGTATTAAACACAGGTAAATAACAACTACACAGTTTGTATACTTAGTGTTATTTCTCCACGGTGGTTGATCACATCTGCTTCTTGTTTTAAACACAGGTAAATAACAACTACACAGTTGGTATACTTAGTGTTATTTCTCCACAGTTGTTGGGCACATCTACTTCTTGTTTTAAACACAGGTAAATAACAACTACACAGTTGGTATACTTAGTGTTATTTCTCCACAGTTGTTGGTCACATCTACTTCTTGTTTTAAACACAGGTAAATAACAACTACACAGTTGGTATACTTAGTGTTATTTCTCCACAGTTGTTGGTCACATCTACTTCTTGTTATTAAACACAGGTAAATAACAACTACACAGTTTTGTATACCTAGAAGGGGTGTTTCTATGTTGATAGTGGCTGGTATCTTCTGCTGCTAGCTTCAGGAAGGCCTTGAGAAGGGGTGTTTCTATGTTGAAAATGGCTGGTATCTTCTGCTGCTGGCTTCAGGAAGGCCTTGAGAAGGGGTGTTTGTATGTTGAAAATGGCTGGTATCTTCTGCTGCCTTCAGGAAGGTCTTGAGAAGGGGTGTTTCTATGTTGATAGTGGCTGGTATCTTCTGCTGCCTTCAGGAAGGTCTTGAGAAGGGGTGTATCTATGTTGATAGTTGCTAAGATTCTTTCTTGGTCTTCTTGGTAGAAAGTCTGAGGTCTTGTCTGGGGTTCCCCCTATTGGGACTTTAATCAACTAACTTAATGCTTTGAAGTGTGTTAGCTGAGTTTGTTATGAGTTAAGTGAGTACAGAAGAATCTGTTAATGTTTTTTTTTTCTCCTGTTTGGTTCATACCCTACTATTGTAATATTACTTGTAGGTTTTGTTTAACAGGATGGTGTATTGTAAATTGACAAGTTACAGTATATTAGAGTAATATTACAATAGTAGTGCTGCTCGGTTTTCTTTAAAAGATGGTGTATTGTAAATAGACAAGTAGCAGCACTATTTTAATATTACTCTAATATACTGTAGGGTTTTGTTTAACAAGATGGTCTATTGTAAATATACAAGTAGCAGCAGTGTTTGCCTCTTCCTACACACAGTTTATACAAAGTATCCCTGCTTATTTTTGAGGACGAAAGCTTCAACAATTTGAATATAGACATTAATATTAGCAGGTACTACACTTAATAGAAAAAGTCCATGTAAGTTTGGTTCAAAAACATATATTAAACCAGGATTGAATTATCAATAGCTCCTAAATTGGGTGAGTACATGATTGGGAGTGGAGCATGAAGTAACATTGACACCCAACAATATCAGTAAAAGGTGTTAATAAGTCAAAACATGAAATGTCTTTGACATAATGACTTGCTGGTATGGACACTAAAATTCTTACTGGTACCAGATTGGCTTACTTTCACTGATGGTCTATATTCACAAGGATGTTGTTAATGTGTTTTTGTTTTCCATTGCATATTTAGGTGGTTTGGTGTGTGCTAACTACGATTGTTTTGTGTTGTGACTCCTGAGGACTACATATCCTCTATATGTTTTCAAAAAGACCTCTGACATAAGGGAATATGGCTGCGTGTCTGTACCTTTCTTCTTACTTATTCTTGATTTTTATCTTCTTTATTGTTGTTAACTGTTCTGGGCATTGCTCGAATTGAAGGGGGGGAACTCCTTTTCCCTTGTTAACAGAAGTAAAAAACTGAATCTCTGACTGTCAAATGCCTGATTGTAAGAAATGCATCAGTGAATAGGTTTCAGGAGTTCCCTTTGTTACTTTTTTGCAACTTGAGTCCTGATTTGGATATCCATTGCCAATGACGGTTGTAGCGATGTGTTGTTCGTCTATCTTATTAGCATCTTTGGGACTACAAATCTTGTTCATTCTCGAAAATAGGCTGTCTGTGATGCCCATCCTTACACAGTTGATTCCAAAATTAAAAATAGTAGCAGGTTATTTTTGATATCCAAGAACAATATGTGAATTGCACTTATAAAAATAATTATTTACTTAAATTGCTTGTAGATTACGCTTTTTATATATGTGTGTATTTGTATGTATTGTTTTCAACATAAATTTTGTATATTACGTTGTAAAAAGATGAGTTTGATGAGAAACCAATATCCTGTAAAACAACTTTTATTTTTTCAGCAACCATTCTGTCTGGGAATTTGTTGGAAGTATGCATTTAACTAGTCCAGATAAGCAGAACTACCTGGTGAGAAGAACTGTCTTTCATCCGAATTTTAAACACAGTGGCTCTTTTAGTAATTTTGACATTGTTTTACTTGAACTTAAAGCTGCTATACCATTTGATCGCTACACTGGTGCTATATGTTTGCCAGAAAAGAACATTCAACCACGTCAGCTCTGTGTAAGTGCGGACTGGAATCAGGAACAAAACCAAGGTAAGAGATACCAGCAATAAAAGATTCTAAAAAGTTAGTGTTGGTTGCCAGTCTAAAAAACAAAGTTATGCCATTAAGAGTTCAAACTGTAAATTATTTGTATATATAGTTTAAAAATTTTAAAAATATTTAGATGATTGATGAAATAAAATAACTTTAAAGTTGTTGTTGAAAAAGAATGACAATACCTTACAAACTAAATTTATATTTCCCAAACAACAGTTATGAATAAAATAATAAAGTTTTTACAGATGCTGTTGGTTAATATTGGCCTTTAAATAATACAGATGCGAACTGTTTTGTTCTCACTGGATGCTGTTGGTTAATATTGACCTTTAAATAATACAGATGTGAACTGTTGTGTTCTCACTGGATGCTGTTGGTTAATATTGGCCTTTAAATAATACAGATGTAAACTATTGTGTTCTCACTGGATGCTGTTGTTTAATATTGGCCTTTAAATAATACAGATGCGAACTGTTTTGTTCTTACTTCCACTGATATTTTATTGCACATATAAATTAAATAGTTTGCAGCACACTACTCCAGATAATTTTGCTGTGATCAGTTTGGTACTGATCAAATATTGTTTCTGTCAGTATCTGCCAAGGGTGGTCAGTAATTCATTATCACAGACAAGCATTTGTAAGTTGGTTTTTTTAGTGATTGAATAATTTATAAAAGTTTGGATGTTTCAGTATTATGTTATTCTGTATTTGGCCTCAAGAAAGTTCTACAAAAATGCATGCACACAATTTCTTAATTCTTTGTATTGTTCTGAAAATCTGGCCCTTCTTCTGCTCTCAGCACTGTCCCACATTTTACTTGCAGAACTGGAATCATACAATGAAATTTCTGGGCCTAACATTACAATTTTCTTTAAACATTTTATCTTTTTAACCTTCTTAGAGCAACTGAATTTTGTCTTGAGCCTGTTTTGTACAGAATAGGATCTTTCACAATCAACACTTACACAAAAGCATAAAGACATTTGACACAATTTTAACGTGTTAGGAAATTGCAGTTTAATAACCCTTTTACATATGTCAAAAAAATAAAATACATAATTTATAACTTATAGATGAGTAGAGGCTGTAAAACCAGTCTAAACATAGGGTAATTACTGAGAAATGATTTTAAATAAAAAAACGGAGTGGGGAAAATAACGAAGTTTGCATATTGTTACAAACATCGATAGTTGAGTGTTGTACTATCCACAATTGTTATCAATTTTAAAATTTCCCATTGGTGCATTGCTGTTGGAACATTCATAATCTCAACGTGTCACTAGTTTGTGTCGTTACACTCCTAGTTGTGGTTTGTTTTCTTTTTAAGCACAGTGCACGTGTGTCTATGTGGAAGTACAACCATTTGCACAGTGTGCAACCAGTAGGTACAGCAAGTTCATATTGTAGCCTATTAGTGATAGCACATCTGTAACTGATATGTGTAAAGTGACGTGTGCATATTTTACACAGATATGCACAAGTTTACCTGGACCAATGCAGCATATTAGATTGTAATATTTTATGTGCAACACAAATAAAAAAAATTGTGTAGCTTTGTGCTTAACAGCAAACAATCCTCCTAAACCACCGCAGTACTTTCTATTATCTACGGTGTTTACTAAATAACCTTATTTTTTTGGGGGTCATCATTTATTAATATTCTAAGTTAAAAACATATTACCTAACACACGTTTAACAACAGTCAACCTGTGATAATAAATAGTACACAAAAGTTATGTGTTTGTTTGAAAATTTAACCTTTATATCTAGCATCTGATAAAATCTTTTTTTCTCAAATTTTTATACACACAGAATTTTGATTGGGGAGAAAAATTTCAAGGAAAAATTTGACCCCCACTTTTATTTTATTATTTTTCTAAAAATGTTTTGGTCCTAACACGTAGAAGTCATCATTAGAATAGCTGGCATGAAAAACTATAGATATATTAAACTTCTGTAAATATGCACCTGTCATTAATTGACATGTTGAACTTTGCAATCACTTAGACTAAAATTAAAGAAACTGTGACAGTTACAAGTTTTAATGTGAAAGAGGTCAGAAAGGAGAAGAATAGATAGAGGTGTTAACGGCTTAGCAAAGTAAATAGTCTTGAATGGCTGACTGGAAAATGGACCATCTACAATTATTCAGTTTCGGGATTTTCAGTTTGTTAAAACCCAAGTACTTGTAGTTTCATTATTACATTCATAAACGAGTAAAAACCTAGTACTTGTAGTTTTATTATTACATTCATAAACATGTTAAAACCCAAGTACTTGTAGTTTCATTATTACATTAATAAACGAGTTAAAACCCAGGTACTTGTAGTTTCATTATTACATTCATAAACATGTTAAAACCCAAGTACTTGTAGTTTCATTATTACATTAATAAAGAGTTAAAACCCAAGTACTTGTAGTTTCATTATTACATTCATAAACGAGTTAAAACCCACGTACTTGTAGTTTCATTATTACATTCATAAACGAGTAAAAACCTAGTACTTGTAGTTTCATTATTACATTAATAAAAGAGTTAAAACCCATGTACTTGTAGTTTCATTATTACATTAATAAAAGAGAACGGTTATTTTTGAAGGGTCACCACCACATATGTATCTCCAGTATCTACCAATTCCTACTATGGCAGCTGATGAATGCAATGGATCCAGACATTATAATGGTCAGCTACCGGATACTTCCATATGTGCTGGTTTTATTGATAGAGAAGAATCAGTATGTCAGGTTAGAAAGCTGTTCGTGTTTTGTTGATGAATAAAGAGAGAAGTTAGTATGGAGAAATGAGGCTTCCATATGTTATACTGGTTTATTTTATTATGATGAGACAGAATAAATTTAGATTTTTGTGTGTGTGATATTTTGGATCAGAAACAACCATCTGAGATGTTTGATTTTGATGTTATCAACCATAAAGTATCAGTGTGATAGGTCAGGTCTATTTTTGTGTTGTACCAAACTTTCAGATTTTGTTTTTATCACTGATTAAGTTAAGTTAATTTAGGAATATCTCATGATTCAAGCTTAAAAGAGTTAATTTCATTTTGTTTGATTGTAAAAAAATAAGTTATCAGTTATTCTAATCCAAATACAGTTAGGTCTTTCTTCAGAGATTTTAACAGACTTGTTATGATTGTAAAAGCTTTGTATTATAGAACATTTTTATCTGTTTTGATAGATATTTATGTATTAAGGATTAGAATGTATTGTAAACATTGCCTTTATAATGGCAATTGCATTGAAAAATGTTTAATTAATTCATTGAGATTTTGAAGACTTGTGATGGCATACTGACTCATAAACTATTAAAAAGTTGGGATATGAATTTTAATGAAATATTTTGAAGTTATATTACTGATCATAAATAAGTCATGATAACTTCTTTTTGGCTTTGTGATGCAAATGAAAATATAGTTAGTGTTTAATGTTAGTATCTGTTACAGGAAAATTCTGGTGCCCCTGTGATGTGCATTAATGACGATGACCGCTGGGAACTTCATGGTACCCTTACTTCATATAGAAACTGTGGTCACTCTGGTCATCCTGCAATCTACACGAGCGTTTCTGCTATGTCCACGTGGATTAAGTCTGTTATTGGCAATTGTGTGTCTTCTGACCTCTAGCCAGGACATTCAGCTGCTGGCCAGCACAGTGATTCAAACTTAGTATTTTAAACTAATAAAGTGGTCAGTTCAATTGAAAATGATATGTCAGAATTGTTGAGTGTTAGTGTGAATCATACGGTGTAACATGGTGAAGATTAGGATGTGTCATTAAATTGTCAACAGTTTTCTCCAACATGATGGACTAAGAATTCTCCAATAGAAGGCCAAAAACTAGCCTAATGTGTCAACAATATTTTGATATGTAAAATGTTTTTATTAACCAACAACATTTAACAGGTCACCCTTACATAACTGAAGACCAGAAGAATGTAATTTTACAAAGAGGGAGCTTTGTTTATTTTGAAGTTTAAGAATTAGTCAGTAGGTTATATTTAGTGTCTTGTCTTTCTTAAAACAAGAGTTACTTCTTCAGTTGTGCATCAGTTTTCTTGATTTTTTTTTTGTATCCATTTGATTGATATTCAATGCACTCGATTTGACACCAGAGAGTAGTATCTAAGATCGAAGCTTTATGTTCTTCAGTTGAGAAATGTATTCAACTATTCCTATACAATGCTGTGTTTTTCATTGTGGATCTTTTGATATTCAGGTTGTGATATTAAACTTGAGCTCAAGGATAATCTAGCCAGGTGCGCTTTAAATGTGATGATATATAGGCAAAGTTTACAGTTTAATATCCAAGAGTTTAAATTAGAACTGTCTATTAATAAAAAAATAAATAAAAACCTCAACACTGATTAAACATTGAAACATTTAATATACCTTAAAAATAGATAAACACAGATTTCCAGAGAGTAACCTTTAAATTAACACTACATATTAGAAGTTTTCGTTTAAATAATTGTACTTGATTAGTTGTCGCATTTAAAATAAGCAGAAAATGTTAAGCTAGGAACATTTTTATATTACCACACGTGTTTACGTGAATAGCAATAAAGTTTATGTTGCTAAGTCGTTACCATTAATTGGCTTTTTGTTTTATTTAATATGAAATAACTAAGCAGAAACCAAAACTTGTGCGAGTAAATTGTGACAAATACAGTGTGTGTGTAAACATTTACTGGGAAAAGAGAAGACACAAAAGCTTACAAGACAATAAAAAAACTTATTTGCTTTAGCCAAAATAGTTATTCACACTTTCAGACAAAATCTCACAAGTAATTAAGTATTCTTGTAGATTACTGTTTTAATAGATTTTTAAAAATACCCCAAGTAAGCTCCAGATGAAATCTTAACTACCACAGTTACGTCCATCTAGTATTGAATCACAAAAACTAGCAGAGTGGCTGATTTCTGTGGATTTTTGGTTTTGTATATAGGTCCTATGTGCCAGAAACTTCTGTGTGATACCATGAAATCTAAGTCACAAACCGGTGAGGAATGCAATCTCTTTACGATCTATTTTGTTTTTTTTTTCAATTCAGACAGTTCTTTGACACACTCGTACTGTATATTGATCTAAACGCTAAGAATACAACACATCTGTTCTGCGTCTTCCCTGTTTTATGTACATACAGATAGGTAGTTGTCTTTTGCTATGTTCTACTTCAAATGAGAACGATGAGAACTGAACAGTCTATATGGAATATTTTCACTCTAGAAATGTAATATTTCAACCACTGATTGCCATTTCTATTTTTATATATATTGTGACTGATAAAACTGGAGCTAATCTTTATGTTTGTTTTACTGACAAAGTAAGTACTAACTAAAATGTGTACTGATGATTTATTTTCTTTTGGAGATGATTGATAATAATATGGGCTTTGGTACTTTTTAAGTAAAGAATCTTGTAATTTGTTTCACTAGCCTGCGATTAAGCAGGCCTTTTGAGTTAAAACTGTGTAGTTTTTTTGCTTAGAAACTATCTTATTTATAAAAACTAAATTTTCCACAATTTGCTGTTTCTGCTAAGCTTGAGTTTTTGATTTTTTTTTTTGAAATGAAATGAATTGTAATAAATATTTAAACTGACTTTTGTTGTACTGCATAATTTTTACAAGAATTCTTCCTTGGTGTGAATTTATTTTTGTAGTTAATAGGAAAAAGATATTTATTAATCAAAATGCTATTTTCTTACTTACAACATTTTGCTAAAATCATGATTGGTTCAAGTCACTGAAATCACATACAAGTCATTGTTACTTTGCCATCTTGAACTGGCGATAATGTTATGTTATAATTACATTAAATTACAGAATTGGCAACCAACACCAAAGATCAAGGTTTGATCACTGAAGTGATCCCAGTTCCATTGTTTGATCATAAACAAATTATCCTTTAGAACTTGTGAATCCAGTTGTTGAATATATACATTTACATAGTACCAAAAATTAGTTAATTGGGGGTTCCAGTAATATACAGTAGCACTTCCAGTATTCAGTGAACATATTCATATAAAACACCTAACACTGATGTGACACTATTAATATAAGCTATTACACTTAGAATTTACAGCAAGGACAACTTCATGCTTCTACAACAAGGACAACCTCATGCTTCTACAGCAAGAACAACCTCATGCTTCTACAGCAAGAACAACCTCATGCTTCTACAGCAAGGACAACCTCATGTTTTAACGTGTACGTTGCTACAGAATGTGAAATAAACATCTGGCGTCAGATCGTGAAATTGTTCTTAGCTGTCCGAAGGAGTTTTGCCAAAGTGGACACAGTAGATAGCCCAATGTGACTATGTTCTAAAAAAACTCAAAAAACAGCCATTAAATAAGGAATGCTGAAAGTGAGAAAACTAATATTTTGAGAGGCCAGTCATGCATCATTGGTGTGCAAAATTCAAACTTCAAGTAAATATACACTTTTTATTTTTTAGCAGAGAAGACTTACGTGAGCCATTAAATATTTATTACGTCATTTTGGTATTCTCAGGCTCACTAATGATGTTACAGATGAGAATAGTAACTGGAGGAACAGCAGAAGATATTATGCAGAATTGCTTTAAGCAAGATGGGTAAAAAACAGAGTGAAAAGTACGCTTTTGGCAACAAAAACAAATTCTGATTAAGAAGCTAGCACATAGGATCACACACGTATATATATACATAAATAAATAGCATCAGCTCTCTCTCAGAGTGCGTGTATTAACCTTGTCACTGGTAATCTCACAAGTAAAACTAAGGACATAGCCTCTTGACATTTCTAAACTTACACAAACATAGGTGGTGGGCACAGCACAGATAGTCCATTGTGTAGCTTTATGCTTAATTACAAACCCAAAGATAGAAAAATTATAATTCGCAAACCAGGCGTGCTACTGTAGTACGTTGTTTCTTACGCCTGTGAAAACTTTTACAATGCACGAAACATGCATAAGACAGAGAAACGTAATCTTTTTAACACTGATAATCAAATTTCAATAATATCACATGAAACCCTTTATCAATGGTCGAGTTACAATATTATCATCAAAATATCCTTTAACCCTGGCCACCAGTAGACATGAATTGAGTTGAGCATTAGTTGGTAATCCCAGGGATGCCAGTTGCTGACTTCTCATGTGGTTTGTTATGGATTTCGCGCAAAGCTAGACGAGGGCTATCTGCGCTAGCCGTCCCTAATTTAGCAGTGTAAGACTAAAAGGAAAGCAGCTAGTCATCACCTCTCACCGCCAACTCTTGAGCTACTCTTTTACCAACGAATAGTTGGATTGACCGTCACATTATAATGCCCCCACGGCTGAAAGGGCGAGAATGTTTGGTGTGACGGGGATTCGAACCCGCGACCCACAGATTGCGAGTCGAGCGCCCTAACTACCTGGCCATGCCGGGCCCTCTTATGTGGAAACAGGTTGTCTCACAGGGAATAAAAGCGAGTTACTTTACTGTTATTATCGATGGCCTTATGATCGTCTAGTGCTGTTGATTCCCTATATTCCCTGAATGTCGATGACGACCTTCCAAGATGGCTGTTTTTAATAACTGGTAATTAAATTAGGAAATAAACTCTTCAGCATAACAGTAGCTTCAACATGCCGTGGATACATTAATCCTCAAATCAGTTATTAGCCCATGAAGGTTTTACAATAATACATCATGCAACATAACTATTCTATTGTTTGTGTGAAGTTAAGCACAAAGCTACACAATGGGCTATCTGTGCTCTGCCCACCACGGGTATCGAAACCCGGTTTCTAGTGTTGTAAGTCCGCAGACATACCGCTGTGCCACTGGGGGGGCGTTATTCTATTGTGAGAAGAAGCTTTTTTTTAGCATGATTAATTGAACATAATTGTTTTTTTCAATACACATCAATATAAAATAAAATCCTTTAACGATAATTATAGAATAACAGTTTGTATACTTATTTATTTTAAAGTTAACTGAAAATTTTGAGACAACCACCTAAATGACAAAAAATGAAGTCATAGATGGCTTTCACCTGTACGTAAAAATTACAGCATGAAGATTAATGTAACCATATAGATCAGTTACTGAATTAAAAACATAAAGAAAATCATAACTTTTAACAAAAATCGTGATTTTGGAGCCTCGTCACATCTGGTCGTGCTCTCTTTGATGACTGTGCATCTTGACAATAGTCCTGCAGCATAGTTTCTATTACAAAAGGCTATCTTATCTTCATATGCTTGAGGTATTATCCAACGGTTGAAGGATATGGCATTGAAGAAATTTGTGTACACGTTACTTGCGTCATTTATCCAGGCGGAGGTTCTTCTGCTCTTGTCTGGGACATACGGATAACTTGTGCCACTGACCTTTCTGTTCATGGATCCTCTCCTGCTCCAAGATACTGCACTTCGCTTACCACAGCTGCAGTACAACTTGTTGCAAGCATTTTTTTTTTCCCGAATCCCCAAGTTGATCCATATTTCTTTGTTTTCAAATGTCATTAATTATAAGATATCCCCATTCTAAATTTCAGATCTGAACGCATCTTTAGGATCTGAATGTACGAATATTTTTGCATCAAACTACCTAAGAAATTCCAAACAATGTCATAATATAGTTCTCATACATCTTTTTCGCCGCGATTTTATAATGGTTGTGATTGTCATGTGACTTCCTAATTTGTGTATTCAAAATTGTTTTAATATAACATATTCAACCCTCTGAATACGAGAATTTCACTCATACACAAAATTATAATTTTGAAAATAAAAACAATAACTATTAAGTTATCAGCAAAGAAGAGACATGTTTTATATGTAAAGTTAGTTCATTCACAAAATGAAAATCTTTAAGAAAATAATAGCTGTTTTAAGTTATCAATAACGAAAGGTAAGTTTTATATGTGAAGTCGATAAAGGATGACCTTCCCAAGGTCTATTTGACTTATTTTCAGACTAAAGTTTCAGCAAGGTCTTTTTCAGTTTGTGGATAAAGCGAAGGTTTGTGCGCACATACTTCATGATAT